ATAAATTTTAACTTTTAAAATGTAATTTATTCCTGTGATTAAAGCTGAATTTTTCACTATTCAGTGTCACATGATCCTTCAGAAATCACTCTAATATGATGATTTAATGCTCAATTCTTATCATTTATTGTGGCTGCTCAGTTATTAATAATGGTTCTTATTACTGTCAATGCTGAATAGTTATTTTGTGGAAACTATGATATCTTTTCCAGGATTATTTAATGGATAGAAAGAACAGCATGCATTTAAAAGAGATTTTTTTGTAACATTATGAATGTCTCTATCAACTATGAACATTTTAATGCGTCCTTGCAGAATAATTTTTAAAATATCTTACCCTAAACGTTTAAATGGTTTTGAAAAAATTGAGGAATGGGACAACTGTTTTCAACAAACATTATAATCAGACATGTGTAGCAGCCAATCATAATATTAGAATAATTTCTGTAGGGTCATGTGACACCGAAGAGTGGACTAATGACGCTGAATATTCACAGCGATAAATTACACTTTTAAATATATTAAATAATTTAATTTATCATAATATTTTACAATATTGATATGTTTCATTAAATAAATGCAGCCTTGGTGAGCAGAAGAGACTTTCAAACACATTAGAAAACTATAATTATTACAAACATTTGACTGGTATTGATTAACTCTCTCTTTCTAACTTAATTATGCAGTTTAGAGATGCTTGACCAGAAAATGGTACGATTAACCACAATCAAATAATCCGCAGAGTTGTACAATGACATACAGTAACCTTCATTACCTTCTTCTTGTCACTGGATGTGAGGTCACTCCCAGGGCATCTGATTGGCTCAATGACTGGCTGACCTTTGACCCGACTGGTAGATTTCGCCAGGCTACTCTCAACCAGTTCATCATCAAACTTCTTTCTCTTTATTGATCTATTGAATATAATGACAAGACACCTTTGATTTACAATGGCGTGTACATTAGCAGTAGTGAAGCAGACGGTAGCAGAAGAGACCTGGAGGAGCTCCTGCGTTTGGGAATCATTCCCGGTCCACTGAAGGCCTGAGCGGCTGTTCTCTTCACACCACTGGCCTCCTCGTCCTCAGACCTGCTCTGCGAAACCATCGGCCCGACCGACGCTCCTGCAGCCACGGCAGACGAGATGCCCGCCTTTACGTCTACAACACATCACATTATCGACAAGAACGCATAAACAAGTGAATGGAGAGTAATTACAGTAATTATTCTCCACATCCGCTCAGATTTTCAATATTTTAGATGCCACTGACCCCCCACATATTCATAATAAAACAAATTCACATGTTTTTTCTAGACTTTTCCCCAGACCTTCTGTCACTCCCCGGAACCCCTGACGTAGATTACAGAAAATATGTGATTATTATATGATATTGCTAACAAAAAGTGTCCTGTAGTACAGCAGTATTAGTGTACTATAGTAATCAGTAGCGTTGTCTGCTAAACTTGAACCAGCAAATGTAATAAAAGCTCAGTCTTATGACATACTAATGTTATTCTTCTGTCAATATAATGTTCATGTTGTCTTACCTTTCTCCATGATCAGCTGGTTAACTCTCAGAAACCTAAAGAATCATGAATACTGAAAACAGACAGAGAAGGTTATGAACACCGACCAACACAACAACAAACACTGTTAAAACATGTGCATTGGTTAGAAAGACACTATAATACATCGCATATTTATATGTTAGATGTGTATTATTAAATTGAATTGCTTTGTAAGCTCTAACAGCGACAATTGTATTGTTGTATCAACCATGACACCAAAACAACACATTTAGACATTGAACATCGAGAATTCGGGCGACGTGTTTACCTTTATAATGAGTATCGCTATGCGCTGACTCTGAATAATATAATATAATATATATTCAAATATTACGCAATATGTTATTCTTGTATGTGATAATCAAAATAAGAAGCAACGAGGCTAAGCTAACTGGAGGCTTCTGTGGAGTTTGGAACGTTTCCGGGTTAGACCGGAAATGTCGTTACAGAGAGCAACAAGCAACAAATCTCTGTCCAAAGCTGGTCCAAAGTTACCAAAGATTGAGATAACTGCACTGATTGTGATACACACACTGTAATTGTAATTGTAAGGTATTATTAATGATGCTAAACTTTAGTGATAGGAGAAACAAAGCTTTATGAAAATCCTGATTACAATTCAATATTCACTCGAAGCGCTAAACACCATAGTTTAGCGGCACCTGCTGCTCAAAATGGTGTAAATGCAACGGAAACTAATCTCTAACATGTAATGAATCATGACATCTTTTACAAACCAATAGCAAATGTTTTCAAGAAAGCATAATCTATTAAAAAAATTCTACAAATGATTAAGTAGCATTAAATATGAAGTTTCTGTCAAATTTGATTTCTTTTATGTATAGTGCTTGTTTTGCTATTAACCAGGGCTTGGCAATCTATGTGGTAGCCTACATTAGAAGCAGTTAAATTTAACAAACCAAGCATAAATATTGCAATTAATTATATCTAATAAAATAAACCTACACGGTAAACTTGCTTGCCTTGTTCCACACTCATTTAATTAGAGGTGAATGTCAGATTTCAGAAGGAATGGCAAACCTCTCACAGGTCAGTCAGTTTTCTGCCATTTTGCTCAGCTTCACCCAGTCATGACTGAGAAGGGTTTAAGGAATTCGAGGAACTCTAAAAACGCTGCAATGGTGTCAATCATTTAAGCTAGTTTAATATTATTTATATTCATATAATGTAACCCTCTGTATTGTTTATTATTGACTTGTTTTGTATTTGTTATTATTGCATTATAAAAAATAAAAAGAAGAAGTGAGCACGGGAAGATACAAGTAGCCTACAACACCCGTTGATTCTGCTGTAAATCTGCTGTTTCATACTGTCAGTAGGCTACGATTCGTTTTTATTATGGGAAATAATTGACTTGACAAATCGATTCATTTTAGTTAGGCCTATATATATAAAAAAAATACAACCCAGCCTGAACAAACAGTCCATACAAGTTTCAGTGCTGTCTTGAAACAGCAATGATGAAGAACAGACAAATGATTCAGGGATAGGGTGGGAAGCAGCACTTCTGAGACCCGGATAATTAACCAGTCCTCTGTGTCCAAAACCACCCGGCTCACACCCCTGGTTAGACTCACATTGGGGTATCGGCTCCAGGGCAAAACTGATCAGAGAGCAGGCGGCTACACTGTAATGTTTTTGAATTGCTCTTTTGGCTCTTGGATCATGTCATACACCAATCGGTCTACAGCGGAGCTTCAAGACGAACACACCTATTCATTTCTGAAGGATCATGGGACATTTTTAAAAGAAATCCAAGGCATCATCACTAAAAAGTTCAGCTACAATGTCAAAATAAAACACTTACAAAAAATACCAAATATTTATTTAAATCTATTTACTTCTCATTGGATAATTTAAAAAGATCAGAGAAGCATGAATATGTAAATGTGCTATTCAATTATTGAAATATTAACTTAAAATATCAGGGGCTGGCAAAAAATAAATAAAAAATAGTTTGGGCTTTGATATTGGATTTAGGTCGAGTCCTCTATCCTTTTTAAACAAGAAAATATTCACAAATCAAGCTTAGTTTTGATTAGTTAACCTAGACAGCTGTAAAAGTAAAAATGTGGTTAAAGTTTGCAAATCACAGCAGTGGGCATTTACACTAATGCCCCTTTAAACAGAGTATTCAAATCAGAGGCTAAAATGAATAATAATTTTATGTATAAATCATACTAACATTGTAAGTGTACCACAAGAAACATCATAAAACAATGCAGTTCATTAAGAAAAATATACATTAGTTGCCCACTTAAATACACAGACACGAACACTATATACTTCCATGATCCAGTGTGGACAGTTTACTCGAGTACAGACGTGATAATAGATAATGCACTGATTTTGCTTGATGGGTCACTTTAACTGACCCGGGAGGAGGTACTGCTCGAGTTCCTGTTTTTTATTTCCTGATTAGCCAACTTACTGTTTTCTTCAATTTGTAAAGTTTTCGCTGGACTGCATACGGACTCCTCATCGCACGGTCATCAGAGTGACAAACGTAAAAATATATATATATCTTTCATTGTATCGAGTTGATTACGAATGTCTTGATATTAGTAAAAACGTAGATTTTGTACCGTTAAAGATAGCCTACTATTACGCAAATATGTTCTTCCTCTTTATACTTTCATTCTGTGGCCACATCAATCAATGCAATGTAGAAACGTGTTGCTATTGTTTGCTACAGATTTATTCTTGAACATCTGGTCGGTGGTGGTACAAACAAAGGTAGGCTGCTGTGTATTTGTTGTGCTTTCGGTTGACACTGTGGTTTGTTTAAGTAGCTTGAGGAACACTGCGCGGATGATTATGATGGTTTGAGGTTTACCCATTGTTGTTAACCTAGCTAGTTATCGGTTAACTGAAATGTCCAACAAGAAAAATGTCACCTCAGTCAGAAAATTTCGACTTTGAAGCTGTCGCCACCTCTGTAAAGCCATCTGATTCTATCGCTGACAACAAAGTTGTTCTCACCCTGACAGGTTGTAGACAAGTTTTTAAATGTCAAGTCAAGAGGGCTAAAATATTCAAATGTTATAATTTTCTGACCGCACCCAGCTGTCTCCTCTCTATTTCCCGATGGTAAAATAAACCGCTTTTTTGTGGCACCAGAAACCTGTAATCTGTTGTGTTTACTTCCCTGTTTGTCGAAGCAATATTCTGTTTTAAAGGAGTAGTTAACTTAAAAAAAAAAAACTTTTGCTGATAATTTACTCTCCCCCATGTCATCCAAGATGTCAATGTCTTTCTTTCTTCAGTCGAAAAGAAATTAAGGTTTTTGATGAAAACATTCCAGCATTTTTCTCCATATAATGGACTTCAATGGGAACCAAACCTTCAATGGCAACCAAACCTTACTCCTTTAAGGCACGTACCAATGTTTTTGAGAATTTTTAATTTTCAACCAAATTTACATTACAATTGTGGCTTTAAACAATCTGTGTAGACACCTAATTGCTGCTTCAGAATTCATAATGAGATCAAAATTGGCCATTTTTATGGAATTCTTCAGCATAATATTAGTAAATTATTTTATTCGCATGTGTCTCGAAATCTCTCTTCAAAATAGCTTCCCCTCTCTTACAGAAACATCTCTTCTCTGATGATGTGATTACTGGCGTGAGGGCGGGGCAACCTGTCACTCACACGAGATCCACCAATCGCAAACTACAAATATCCAATCAGTTCCACATGGACAGAATCAAGCCGTGGGATTAATAAAGTGGTTAACTTAACTTAAAAATTAATTGTGGTGACAAATCAAGTAGGACCCCAAGCGATCACATTGGCTCAAATTATTTTTAATAGACACTCGCCCATTTACCAATTCCTACAAAATCATGTATGATAAATGCATTTTGAATTAACGTTATAATGACCATTGCACTATATAGTAAGCTATACATATTTCAAATTAATATTGTTCGTATGTACTTAGTATAATCATTAACTGATTTCGAGGGAGAACCCGATTCATTGTGACACTTTCAATCAGATATACGTCGCAATTGAAAAGAAAAGACTATCACAACTTCAGTTTCATGCCGACTTTAATGCTCAGAGTGGGCATAGCTGCATTTACAGAGCAATTACAACTGTATAATTTGATTCTAGGGCCTGAGATGGATCAGAGCAGGCATAATTTAATCTGGCATTATGACTTTACACAGAAGTTTGAGAAGGGACAGAGCAGCCTTCATTTTTGGATGTTACTTTTATATGCACTGCGTTTTTGCTGTTAAATATTGCTGGTGAAAAAAATCTCATGAGCTGTAAATAGTCATTCAATGACATTGAGTGAACTTGCTCCATTTTGGTATGTTATTAGTTGTTGTTTTCTTTTGTAACAATGATGGAAATCTCTCTCTTTCTCTATTTCTTTCTATACAGAAGTGAACTGCAAGCGCGAAGACTTTCCAATACGTTTTATTTTTAATTTCCTCCACTTATTAAGATGGAGGAGGCGTATACAGCGCTGTATCAGGAGTTTGTCCGTCTCCAGTCTCTCTGCTTAAAACAAGCAGCAATGCTTCAACATCTCTCTGACACTGTGATACGACAGCAAGGTCAAATGACTCAAATAAACTACCAGTTTTCAGTACTTCATGTATTATTAATATCTAAATGTATTAAATGATCGTAGAGACTATGATAAATGATTTAAATGACACTTATGTTCACTTTCAGAGTCGGCCAACCAGTGCCAGTGTACAGTGAACAAGACGGGACACCGACCCCATCCTGCAGAATCCCATGAATCTCGGAGACATCCCACTGAAACACGCATACTGAACCCTCAAAGTACAGGATTCTCATAATGAAAGTTATTCTTCATTGAAAGTTTAAAACTCTACACTGATGTAGAATTTGTTTCTTGGCACAAATTTACGAGCAATTTCTGAGTGAAAGTTGTCAGTGTACCGTTGATATGCAGTATGTTTTTTTTGTCATTTGTCTCTTACTTTTTATACGTTTTTTCATTCTGCCGTGTATTTGTTTGTTTTTCAGCTGCTTATGATCTCAGTCACATTGATAGAGGACTAGACCAACTGCATCTTAACCTGGGCATGTCTGATCAGAAACAAGGTAGCCACGATAATGTGGTTTTCCATAATCCGGTAAAGACGGTGGATAACAGTGCCTGGGATGACCTGAGGAAAGTTGAGCAACATTATTACGCCAACCAGACTTCACAACGGCTGCGGGTTTGTATCATACCTGTTTTTAGTTAGCTTTGGTTCACTCCGGTTTTTACTTTGTTTTAAGCTCCTAAATTATGTCTAGTCCTTCTGACCACACCTCCTGCTAAACTTCTTTCTACACTTAAAAAAAACATTGAAAGCCTTCTGTCAGAGGCTTCATATATAGTAACAATGGTCATTATGTCATATTATGGATTAGGTTTTTTTTAAATGAAATTATATTAATTAAACAGCTCGTAAACTAAAACTAGACAAATATGTAAGTACCTCCAATAAAATAATTATGCAATAGTTTAAAGTCCCCTTAGTTGTAGTCAATAATTTTATCCCTTAAAACTAATCTTTGATCACCAAAAGGACACATTTAAATGTTTTTTCCTTGAAAAACAAAAGTCTCCATGCCTTAAGGTTATTACGAAATTAAGGTTTTTGATGAAAACATTCCAGGATTTTTCTCCATATAATGGACTTCAATGGGAACCAAACGGTTCAAGGTCCAAAAGACAGTTTCAGTGCAAACTGCAAACTATTCAAAGGGCTTTAAACGATTCTAGACGATGAATAAGGGTCTTATCAAGCGAAACGATCGCTCATTTTTTAAAAAAAAGTTTAAGTTTTATAAGCTCAAATGGTCGCCTTGCTCTGTTCTGTGATGTGTGTTCGTGACTCTCCTGTTCGAACTCGTTCATCAAAATGAACGAATCTTTTCCCCGAGTCAATTTGTTGAATCAACCAAATGACATGAAACAAGATTTGTTCACTTTGATATAAGAGTCAGCAAAAGTTTTTTTAAAAGTGAACTACTCCTTTAATGCTGACAAGGACTAGACTAAGGATGACACAGCCATCCGTTTGAGTAGTTTACAATCTGATGTGTGTGAAAAGAGTGTTTGTGTGTCCCACAGAGGCCCTGGTCATCCTCCTTTCTGGACAGCGAGTTGGTCAGTCAAGCCGGAGGGCTGTTCATGTCTGGAGTGACGCTACAGTCGCAGGTGTGCGAGTTCTGTCACGCTGTGTTTCCGGGACACACAAGCACCCGTGGAGAGTTTCTGCGTCACCTCACCACACACATGACCTGAAAAAAAGCAGTGCTGGGAATCAAATTCACACAAAAAATGTGGATTTTGAAACTAGTTTTGGTCAGTGATGGTCAAGATTTCTTTTTATTAAATTATAATGCGTACAAAGCTGTAGTGCAAACACACAATGGCCTGGTTAACTTTTATTAACGTGCTTTAAAAACATTACTGGTGTGAATCTTGAGATAAAACGATGGCATATTTTAAGGTAAATCAGAGCAATTTGCTTTCGGTTAAAACAGCTCAAACATTCATTTTAGTCTGGGACTAGTTTAAGCCTTATCTGTGAATCTGGGGAAATATGAAAGCAGGAAGAACAGCAAAAATATTACACATGCACTTAATTGTTTATCATGTTATGACTATGACTCATCTCCTGTCCAAATTATTTGGTGTTTGTTTTGTACAAATAGAAATGTATCATTATTTTGTTTTAAATTATTTCTTGTTTTACCCAAATGCTGTATTTTCATTACTCTATAGCGCATGATAGTGAATACTGCTGTCTATCAAGTAAAGATTAAATGCACTATAAAATGATGTTTTGTGGGGCATTAATGGATCATACCAACAGGCATGAATGCTGTATAACCTCATTAGATTATCATTATGTTCAGGCTACATGTAAATCAGTGTATCCCAGCTAACAAGGAATGTCCTCAAAACTTCGGCTTACGTTCTGGGAAGGTTCTCTCAAAGTTCTAAAGAAACGTTCTTCCAGTAACAATAATAGAACATTCATTCAAAGTTATCTTGTCTTTAATTATGTTCTCAAAATGTTATTATCAAAAACGTTATTTATATATCATTAATGGAATGCTTTTTTTTTCCCTGAAACATTTTACTTCTTACTACTTGTTTGAGAACATTCAGAAAACATTCAAAAGTAACGTTATCATTATGTTTGCAAAATGGAACGTTACCTTCAAACGTTATATTGGAATCGTTGGTGTTTCTGACGCCACAAACAACCTTGTAACCAATCAGATCAACGTGTGATCGTCAACCAGTGGATCTCTGCGCTGAGTGAGTGGAGGCGGGGCTCATTTGCATATTCATAGAACCGCGTATACTAAATGAGGCAAGGGTATTGAGTTAAACTAAAGCTATTTTAAGCCATGACAATTATTTTTCAAGAAAAAAATGTTCAAATAAAATGATTGTCTACATTCTCTGACAAAACAACGTTTGGAGCATTTAGATAACATTCAGAATCATAACTTAAAGGATTAGTTCACTTTTAAAAAACTTTTGCTGATAATTTACTCACCCCCATGTCATACAAGATGTCCATGTCTTTCTTTCTTCAGTCGAAAAGAAATTAAGGTTTTTGATGAAAACATTCCAGTATTTTTCTCCATATAATGGCACCAAACGTTTCAAGGTCCAAATGAGAGTTTCAGTGCAGCTTCAAGGGCTTTAAACGACACCAGACGATGAATAAGGCTCTTATCTAGCGAAACGATCGCTCATTTCAAAAATAAAATAAAATTTTTATGAGCACAAATCAAGTGCTCGCCTTGCTCTGTTCTGTGATTCGCGTTCGTGACTCTGTTCGAACTCGTTCATCAAAATGAACAAATCTTTTTTAGAGTCATTTCGTTCATTTAACCATAGACATGCATTTAACGAACGAAATGATTCGAAAAAAGATTTGTTCATTTTGATCAACGAGTTCGAACAGGATCGAACGCGCAATTTTTTTTATTTTATTTTTAAGTGAACTAATCCTTTAATGGCAACGTTAGTAAAATGTACGTGGAACTTTTTTTTGTTACCTGGGATGATTATTTCCATTAAGGTATAATTGGATAAAGATGATTACATGACATGACAAAATTATTTAGTCTTGTATACGTCTTTCCATTACTTTTTATTATGTGTTGCTTTAAACCAACACATATAACCAGTTTATTCCAGTACGATCTGTTTGGGTTTCTGTACTCTTTCAAATATCTTTTGTATAAAGAAATTATGCAGATTATGTGGGTAATTGAATGATGACAGAATTTAAATGTTTGCCTTTGCCTTCAATCACTGGTCTTTACAAGCACATTTAATGAGTGAATAAAGAAACAATTAAGACAAGTTTCCAAAACACTCCCCCATCTGTGAGATTGATGTTGATGATGATGATGATGATGATGACGATGATGATCAGGCCAGTGAATCACAGGCATCATCTGTCTGGGTTTGCTGAGATGAGACGGGGCGAGTGGGTGGTGGATCAGTGTGTCAGAAATGAGACCAAAACCACAAAATTCTCTATACATTTTCATACTCACTACTCAGACAAAAAGCAGCATAGGGAAAAAAAGTGAAAATATCAGCAATATATTGTATGTTGTAAAACAAAGTTTCTATATTTGCACACTATTAGCAAGTAACAGTCTCAAGACATAAAACAGAAACATCACAATATAATGTATTGAGGAATTAAAAAATAAATACTCTGTCATTAAAGAGGCCACAGATATATTTCTAATAGGAGCTGTAATGCACATATTCATTATAGCCATTCATACAGTGAAAATACTATTCTTCCCATGATTCATTTACATATTGTATTGTTGTAACCTTGAAAGTCTACTTAAATATGAGCATTTAAATATAGCAGTTGATATATTAATATTCACCGCGTCAGTATAAGTAAATAGTGTCAGGGAGTCAATTTCATATTTCGCCCGCTGTACATAATGAAGTGTTTGAGCAGTTTATATAAAGTGTATTCTAGCATTGGGATTAAATGAACACGCACCTCATGAACTCTTCACTCTTATTGAAACCTACATCAAACAAGAAGCATGCCATTTATCCTCATATATAATGGTTCGGTAATGGATAAAAATTAGCACCATTGTCTGTCAAGTCAAAACATCCTGACCAAGAAAATGAAATGGATTTGTAACATCTTTGTTGTTTGCGCTAACCTTGGTCTGCTTCGAATTTCATTTGCAAAAACACAACTTTACGTCTTTATATGTTCTAATAGAACACAAGGTTCTAAAATACCGCACAGAACTAATGAACGTAGCGAACCGCACACCATGGCTGATGATATCCGACCTGAGTTCAACACAGAGACTGGCAGGATATCGGTTATGGGTCGTCTTTGGTGTTCGCTGGACTGATGCTTCTGTTACTCGATCCTCTCCTCTCGGACACCTTCTCCTCCATCTCTGCGAGAATATAAACAAAGTTACGTTCAATTTGAGTCATTTTTGACCATCAACAGGGTTGAGAGCACAATTACAGTACTTTACAGCATCACATGTCAATTGTTATATGCTTGCTGACACACAGGTTTCAATGACTTAACTTGGATGAGCAAACTGCCTTTGAAAGTGATGCATTCCTATTGAAAACCACCAGAAAGACAGTTGATTGTCCCGCACACTGATTTAAAGAGTTATTGAGTCTACTGAGAGAGTTTGTATCACTGGGTTTCTCATTGCATTTACTTATTATCATTATTATTAACGTGATAATGCTTTTAGACAAGTGGATACCTGATTGATTTAAGTAGTTGTTCACTTTTAAAAAAACTTTTGCTGATAATTTACTCACCCCCATGTCATCCAAGATGCCCATGTCTTTCTTTCTTCAGTTGAAAAGAAATTAAGGTTTTTGATGAAAACATTCCAGGATTTTTCTCCATATAATGGACTTCAATGGGAACCAAACGGTTCAAGGTCCAAATGAGTTTCAGTGCAAACTGAAAACTGTTCAAAGGGCTTTAAACATTTTCAGACGATGAATAAGGGTCTTATCAAGCGAAATGATCACTCATTTAAAAAATAAAGTTTTAGTTTTATAAGCTTTAATGGTTGCCTTGCTCTGTTCTGTGATGCGCGTTCGTGACACTCCATGTTCGAACTTGTTCATCAAAATGAACAAATCTTTTTCTTTAATTTCAATTTGTTAATTTCATTCGTTGAATGAACCAAATGACACGAAAAAAGATTCGTTCATTTTGATGAACGAGTTCGAACAGGAGAGTCGCACAGAACAGAGCAAGGCGAGCATTTGAGCTTATAAAACTTAAACATTGTTATTTATTTATTAAATGAGTGATCGTTTCGCTTGATAAGACCCTTATTCATCGTCTGGAATCGTTTAAAGCCCTTTGAACAGTTTGCAGTTTGCACTGAAACTGTCTTTTGGACCTTGAACCGTTTGGTTCCCATTGAAGTCCATTGTATGGAGAAAATCCTGGAATGTTTTCATCAAAAACCTTAATTTCTTTTCGACTGAAGAAAGAAAGACATGGACATCTTGGATGACATGGGGGTGAGTAAATTATCAGAAAAAGTTTTTTTTTAAAAGTGAACTACTCCTTTAAACTACTATAAGCTCCATCTAATTTAAAACCGGATACATTCGATTATTATTATTATTTGTCCACAAGTTGCTTGTTGTTCAAACTGAAAACGTTCAAATCATCATATTGCACAAGCATAAAACTTAATAAAAGCTCACTGAAATTAAACCTAGAGACCAGATATAATAAAGATCTCTTGATTTAGGTGAGAATCAAATTACACTCAATCGCTGTTTTGATGCAGCACAGCATTCAAGTACATTTTCTCTTATCTTTGCAGGAATCTAATAGGACGATTGTACAGTGTAACATTTATCTTTAGCAACATAAAAGGAAATAGCGGGCAAAAATCGGTATAAACAGATATCTATACAATATGTCAAAACTAAACGTGCGTCATCGTTGTCAAATACATCAAACGACAATGCCATTTTCAAATAAGAAGTGTATTAAGTGTCTTAAAAAATATATTATAAGCGCCGTTTACGAGACATCGTTTTTAAACTAAAAACAAAACGTTTTATGTGTTTTGGCCGTTCATTTACGCAACAACTGCATTTTGAGCGGCTGAAAACGCGAACTTTTGAATATAAGTTTAAAATGCAAGTTTTTGAAAATGATACTGTGATCGTCTCTTTATAAACTACAAAAACACTAATTTGTGAAAACAGTGATGTTGTGCGTATTATGTGTTCAGTCAATAAGACCCTATGCGCCAGAGAAACAAGCGTGCAGCCATCTTTAGTATTTTGTGTTGTCGAAGTGTTTCTTAAAGCGACATCGCCAACTACTGGCTTGGCTGCAGAATACAGTGTTTCCTGAACCGTGTGAATGGGGATCGTTTTGACAACGTTATCATCTGTACGCAAATAATCGCAAAGGAAAATCGTATCCATTTTTAGTACATCGTTGTCGAGTAAACGTTTTTAACCTTATCCGGATTTGTTATAAAACATTATGTTAAAACTCTTTATTTTTATGTGAAGGCAGAACAATGCTGAGGAATGTAAGTGCAGAATGATTGACAGCGCAATGAAATGAGGAACTTGCGATCTCACTTGAAGGAGAAACAAAAAAATACAAAGAAAGACTGATTAAAGCTCGTTTTTGGCCACTGAACTGAAGCACTGGTGAGTTTGCTGATTAAGAGAGAGAGAGAGAGAGAGACACTGCATCCTTTTACTGCCCACATGGGTTATTTTTACTCTGTCTCTCTGAGTCAAAGCGACGCCCTTCTCACTCCCTCCTACTCATTCACCCCCTCTTTCTCTCCATCCATCCATCCATCCATCCTCCACTCACACATTTTCATGAGCTTTGACGTCAGACGGGGACGAGGGGCTCCAGTTTATCACCCACACACACTTCCTGTGGCCCCCTCCGCCCAAACACATTTCTCTTTTATTCTGCAGTCCCTGATGACGACGTCTGACTGAGATGTTTGCCTCTGCAAGAGCTTCTCATATTCATTGACAATCTCTGATTCATCCCATCCAAGAAAGCAAAATTAGCCAACCAGATAAGAACAATAAATGCATTTGTCACTGTTCTTCTAGATTCCTCTGAGACACTTCAAGGTGTGTTAGTCTCTTCACCATCATCTCTAGTAAAAACTAATTCTTTCATAGCGAACCTGCAGCCTTTAAAGGGAATTTTAGGAACACTTTACAATAAAACCTCATATGTTAACTTAAGTTAAAGGGATGGTTCACCCTGTCATTCATTTCTCACCCTCATGTCGTTCCCAACCTGTAAGACTTTCGAAATCTGAGAGTTTTCTGTCCCTCCATTGACAGCTACGCAACTACCACTTTAACACCTCAAAAAGTTCATAAAGAGATCGTAAAACCGATCCATATCAATTTGAGCCAGACAGATATATCGGCCGGCCGATATTAGGCATTTTCCAAAATATCGGTATCGGCAGTTATAATGGCCGATAAATGAATATTTAAAAAATAAAATAAAAACGGACGAAACACGCTTCAATCATCTCTCCTTGGCCTGTTATATTGAAAATGTATGTTTTACAATTTGCAGTATGATGTCATCTATTGCTAAATTATGGCTCATCATAGACTAGCTAACCACGATGCTAGCTAATATCACTATCATCAGTGGAAGACCGCTAACGTTAACATTAATGAGCTTGGAAACCACAACGAACTTTTTCTGCCTAAATAAAGTAATGATTACTGTAGTAGTTACAGTCCCTGCATTGTAAAATGTAAGTTATTCTTGCGAGGAGTGAACATTTAGACATCGAGAAAAAGTATCAAACGTATCTTGTGCAGAAAAGTTAGCTTTTCTTTTACACGTGTGTGAAATCCAACAATATTTAACAAAAAAATTAAAAATATCGGCCGATATATCGGAATATCGGATTTTAAAACCCAAAAATATTTGTATCTGTATCAGCCTTCAAAATCCTTTATCGGTCGGGCTCTAATATCAATCGAGCGGTTTAGTCCAAATTTTCTGAAGAGATTTGATCACTTCATATGATGAACAGATTGCTTAGTTGCGTAGCGGTCTCTAAAGACGATGTCTTTACTACCTTTCTGGACCTTGAAAGTTGCAATGATGTTGCTGCCTATGGCTGGTTCAGAAGAAAAAAATTCAAGAATTTCAAATCAAAAAATTAGAAGAAAAAAAAATTAATTTGTGAGTGAACTAACCCTATCCCTGAATAGAATAGATATGGTTCTGACTTAAAGGGATACTCCACCATTTTTTCATTTTAAACAGTTATTCCCTTAACTAAGACGAGTTGATGCATACGTGCGCTCAATCGCTCTGGCGCGCGAGACACTTTGATCGCACTGAACTAGCCCAGTTCATTCAATATGGACCACGTTTCTCCTATTTAAATTTAGTTACACGAGTAGTGTAGCTCGACCTAGGACGGTGACACAAATTAAAACGTTGCGTTTTTCTAAGCGTGTGAAGTGGATATCTATATTGTATGGCGGAATGCCACAGCAAGTGTTTGGGAGCACTTTGACTTAATTAACAGCTTATATACATTTTACCTGTTGAGGTAGATATACCATCAGATGATTATCTACCTATTATCTATCGTTTTGGCAATTTAAGTTTCAAACTATGTTTTGTTTGATGAAAATGAAAAGTGTGCTTTATGTTATAAAACATCACAGAATTCACCTGAAATCTGTCTCTTTTCTGACCCTAGGCTGACTTTGCTTGCGTGGTCACGTGACACCATTCTAGCCAATCTGAGGCCCTCATCCATGAGAGTTTGCTGCATGAGCTGGCGACTCCAGGTGATGAGGCCATTGGTGTCGGTGGGGGGGTGAGGGGATGAGGACGGGTGCAACTGAGGGCTGATATCTATCAAGACACACACAATTAGACAAACATGCCTCTCAATCACATGTTACGGCAACGTTTCACTCTGACACGAGTATGAATGGACACAAGTTTGGCAAATCTTTACGTCAAAGTAACGAAGTGGCCCTGCGTGGCGTTTGCACAGAATGTGGGACAATGATGGTTTTTGGGGTTACATGTCTAGGATTTACTGACAAACATTGCAGTCAAAATAATAATAATGAAAATTCTTACCTTGTGTTAAACTATCTAGACTTTCTCCAGAGAGGCTGTTGTCGTCTGCTGTAGATCTGATGTCACTGTTGGCTACCGCGTCCTTAGACAGCCTGTCCGAATCTGTGACCTGCAACATGTTAGTATTATGTGTTTTGTAACAGTAGTTGATTTGTTTCGATATAAAATATTTCCAGTGTTGGGGAAAGTAACTTTTTAACTTTGCATTACAATTTTCTGTTACTCCCCCAAAAATAACGAATTACGTTACTTTGTTACATTTTATGTAAAGTAATGCGCTACGTTACTTTTGCGTTTCTTTCTCTCATCTGGCTGAGGCTCGCTCTCTTCAAGGCCTTGTACGTGTTGTTTTTGTGTGTTTAACACAGTAATCAGTCCTTCCAGAAAAACGCGGAGTTTTTTTGTGATTGTTGCGGGCAAAAATCCTTGATTACGCGGCCTGTTTTCTTTAAAAATGCGATGGAATATGCGGGATATTTATGGAATTTTATGCGATGAAATTGCGGGAACTTGCAAAAATTGCGGGGACTTGCAAAAATTGCGGGAACTTGCAAAAACTGCGGTTTGATGAAAAAGAGAAAAAAAGTGATTCCCCCAACATCCTGTTCTCACTAGGCTACTACCTTAATGTAAAGAGTCATTTCTTATTACTTTCTATGATGTAGCAAGCATACTACATCATAGAAAGTGCTGGGAATATTTAATTTCTCATCTTGTTTTATTTTTATTAAATTTTCAAAATCACAGAGTTTGATATCAAGTTCTTGACATTTCTTTTACACATTTTCTGATAAGTATAACATCTGAGAAGTAGCCTAAAACATGAAACAATAATTTGGAAAAAAAAAAAAAAAAAAAAAAAAAAAAAAGAAAAAAAAAGATAGAGGGCATCACAAACATATTAAATTCCTTTAGCAGAGATACAGATCTTTTGGGCTTTTCGATTTTTTTTTTAATTTTAAAGACTCAAAATACATTTTAAAGGCTGTTTTGAAATGAGCAAAGTTGGGTTTTGAGTTAGGCTACTCCACTTAGTTTGATGAATATGAAATTTTCCTAATAATAGAAAAAATCGATAACATACATTTTTCTTATAGGAAAGTCAAAATCATTTGTATGAAGATGACAAATTTAAGACAAGGTTGCAATTCATTTTAAAACCTAGAAATTGAGACATCTCATTCCAAAAGATTGAAAAATAGGGACATTCAAACAATAAGTGCACAATAGACTCTTTCACAATTACAAAATCAGCAATGTTTTATTTCAGACTGTAACGAGTGTAAATGAGGTGTGGCCCCTTTAAGAGCTGCGCGCTGAACTGTCTGCAGTGTGTGCGCCTCAAACACCCCATGTCGTGTGCGGGTAATTTCTGTTTGATGCTTATTCTTTTATCTTATTTTGTTTATTAAGTAACGATGTGATGGTAGAACGTGTGACAGACAGTACGAGTTCGATTTGTGAGATGTCAATCGCCTCCGTGAGTCTTTCTGGCCTCTGCAATAACTTCAGCTGTGAGCTATCCCGTCGCGTAATTGCGTCACTTCATAACGTTCCCATGGAAACCGGAGGAAATGGCTGCTCTTGTATGAAGCAAACGCAACATTTTTCAACTTTCTGCGAAGATATATGTGACTTTTTTTTGCAACGAAAATACGAGGATTATGAAATCATGCAGCAGCAAGCCCCGCATATTTTGCGTGGAAATCGGCATTTTATGCGGCGAAAGTGCGGCTTATTCGAAAAAATGCGGCCCCCGCATAAATATGCGGACTTTGACTGATTTTGCATTGAATTCAGCGATCGCATAATCGCGTTTTTCTGGAGGGACTGATTTAATGTATTCAACAACATAGTCTATATAACATCCACCTTCAGTAAAACACATTACTGTATTATTCTGAGCACTTTGAATATTTCTTGATCCTTAGAGCGATGTACGCTATACATAAGCTTTCTTAACTCTATGGGTTATATAACACTAGACAACTGAAAAGTAAAGTGTTTTGTTACTTTTGTACTTTTATCTGTTTGCGCGTATACATGAGTGCGCATGTTTCAGTGACTATGTTATGGAGAAGAGAAAGAATTTAAATTCAGTGCTTTAAAGCAAATTAAGACATTACATTACAAGTTGCATCAAAAAAGTAATCTGATTACATAATGCATGTTACAGTAACGTGTTTTGTTACTTTTGTACTTTTTATCTGTTTGTGTGTATACATGAGTGCGCATGTTTCTGTGACTACGTTAACAAAGTAAGACATTACATTAGGGATGGGCAACGATTAATCGCGATTAATCGCATCCGAAATAAAAGTTTGTGTTTATATAATATATATGTGTGTAGTGTGTATAATTAATTAGTATATATAAATACCCACACATTCATCTATATATTTAAGAAAAATGTGTTATTAATATATCAAATATTTATATATAATATTAATTGTGAATAATTATATATATAAAATATATACATGCACATATTTCTTAAATATATATATGCATGTGTGGGTATTTATATATACAAATTAATTATACACACTACACACACATATATTATGTAAACAGAAACTTTTATTTTGGATGCGATTAATCGCGATTAATCGTTGCCCATCCCTACATTACATAACTAATTACATCGAAAAAGTAATCTGATTACATAATGCATGTTACAGTAACGTGTTTTGTTACTTTTGTACTTTTTATCTGTTTGTGCGTATATGCATGTTTCAGTGACTATGTTATGGAGAAGAGAATTTAAATTCAGTGCTTTTAAGCAAATTAAGTCATTACATGACTAGTTACATCAAAAAAGTAATCTGATTACATAATGTTACAGTAATGCGTTTTGTTACTTTTGTACTTTTTATCTGCGAATATACATGAGTGCGCATGTTTCTGTGACTATGGTATGGAGAAGAGAAAGAATTTAAATTGAGTGCTTTTGAGCAAATTAAGACATTGCATTACTAGTTACATCAAAAAAGTAATCTGATTACATAATGCATGTTACAGTAATGTGTTTTTTTACTTTTGTACTTTTTATCTGTTTGCGCGTATACATGAGTGCGCATGTTTCAGTGACTACGTTATGGAGAAGAGGGAGAATTTAAATTCATTGCTTTTAAACCAAAGACTAGTTACTAGTTACATCAAAAAAGTAATCTGATTACATAATGCATGTTACTCGTAATGTGTTACCCCAACACTGAATATTTCAACCTGTTTGATAGAGTTACAGATTTCGTTATAATATCAATATTACAAAAGGAGTTCAAAACTTCTTTTTGAAGTTTGACACTAGAGACCTGCACTCCCGTGGGACCCGACGCGGGACAAGATTTGATGGGCGATTGCGGGTTACGGGAGAATAAAATGATTTGCATGACTCCCTCAACATAGAAATATCTAAGAGATGAAATCAAAGCAAATAAATGGTTATTTACTGTATCTATACCACAAAAATCAACAAGAACAGCTAATATAAAGTACAGATCATTTACAGGCGCATGCCAAGCTGCCCATAACTGCAGGTCTAGGATCAGTTTTCGCCATAATAGCATATTAGCAAAACCGATTTTACAATTGATCCAGTGTATTTGCGCTCAGGAGAGCATCAAACGTTTCAATTTACGACGTTTTTTTTGCAGCGTTGAGTAATGTAGCCAATCACAGACATATCTGTTGATTTCTTAAATGCAGTGGCCAATCAGAGGTCTTTAAGTTAAAATCCCCTCACCACTGAAAACGTTTTTGTTCAGTTCTGTACGCTTGCGAATCCTCTCATTATAACAAACTTTGTATTGCTGGGATGGTGATGATGTGGCTCGGTGACACTTTAAACCGTCTCATGGAAATTTCATGGACGTACTGGAAAAACCTACATGCATTCGCCTTCGGGTGGGAGTGGGAGGTGGTGACATTTATTTATGATAAATCCGTCCCGCGCAGGTCTCTATTCGACACCCCATGTAAAGTAACTTTTTATCTCTCAACTGAGGAATGACTACGATCTTTATTTTCATCTCCTTTCTAATCAAAGCATATTTCTAGGCTTGTATACCTTTTATGCAAATGTATAAATAGACACATATCTTGATGTACTTACATCAAGCTTGATTCTCTTCTGAGCAGTACAGTCAACAGAGGGAGTACAATCATCTGAGTATGTCCTGAGATAATAATATAACAAACTTAGCTCAGATTCCCGGCTCAGAATTCAAAACAAAGTCACAGTAATGAAGTCAAACACTCAATATTCAAGGACAAACGTAGGGGGCGGATTGGCTCGCAGTCAAAATATCTCAGGAACGTTAAGCTTTTAAGTCAAATGTCAAATTACACAAACCTGTTTTTCGTCTATGAGTTGAAAGGTTCTGTCAGATGCATTTAGACTATTTTTATATATATTTAGTTAGCATGTTACCAGGTCACATAAGCAGTACATTGGGATCTGATCTTGGGATTGGCAGTTATATCCACAGTTAAAGCAAATAACTGTAAGGAAAATAGTTAAATCTTCAAATTTGTGGTTTTTATCTCAAACCGTGTAGCACCACCAACAGATAAAATTGGCACTTATGTTTTTTGCACCATATGGTCTGAAACATAATTATTTTTTTCTTCTGATTACTGGGCTTGAGCCAAGTCAATCACAAACCAAGGATTCAATTTCTGGCCAACATTTCTGAAAGGGAGCTCATCTTCACCAAATCCAGCTTGTATCATCTTCAAAGCTTTTTGATATAATCAAACCCCTAACATGTAATTATTCAAATAATACACAGAAAGCACACTAAAAATTACAGGAGGGAATCTTCACAAAGCTCTGAGATAATGAAATAAAACTTATGTCAACACAACCAAGACCTGAGGGTTACCTGAGCAGTTTGGAGACAGCGCTACCTACTGGTCATGAAATCGAAAGATTTTGCTTTTAACTTTGGAAAAGCTCTCCATATTCAGCACTGGAAAAATAAGAGACTATTACAGAATGATCAGTTTCTCTGGATTTACTGTTTATAGGTATGGGTATTTTTTTTTTAAATCTGTAAGCTAATATTATCATTAAACTCATTTATTTGCAGAAAATGACAACTTGTCAAAAAAGTAGTTTTTAAAGCAACACAATACTAACGTTTTAATTTAGGAAGAGTTTGGAAATCAAGATGTGGTGGAATAACCCAATCTGGGTCTTCACAATCTGTCTGATTCAGCCTTATTTAAAGGGATAGTTCACCCAAAAATTAAAATTCTGTCATTAATTACTCACCTACATGTCGTGCCAAACCCCGAAAGACTTTCGCTCATCTTCTGAACACAAAAGAAGAATCTCTTATTTCATATGGATTCGTTGATAATAAGCATAACGAATGCACAGATAATACTGAATTAATGTGTAACTAATGATTATCTAAGCTATTCATTAAAGATTACCACATTAGGAACTTATTAAGAGTCTGTAAGGTTAATGTAGCAGTTCATACATTAATTGTTATTAATTAAATATGTAATTGTGGATTAATTCCACAATAACTCACTTAGGTTTTTTTTTAACTAATAGTGTTAATTACCAGAATGAGATGACAGGTAAACTAATATGCATATTACATGATTAATTACTTCATTGTTAGTGCAAATTCAGGTGCAACTTACTACAATTACTAAATGACTAGTTAATAATGATGTGCCCCATCAAGTAAAGTCATAACATAATGATACCTTTGCAAATCATTAGCTAATGATTAATTTAAGCAGACAGCTGGAAGTTGAAGTGCATAGCTTTGACTAATTGTGGTAATTAACACATTAATTTACACTATTAGTTAATAAAATATGTTGAATTGAATTAATAGCAATTCATATTACTTAATCTATTACTCACATAGACTCTTGATTAGTTGCTGATGCAGTAATCATTAATTAATGGTTTAGTTCTTCATGAGTTATACATTAACTCAGTATAATCTGTGCATTAGTTAAGCATAAATTAATGCATATTACTGCACCCGTATTTTAAAGTGTTACTGATTTGTTTTATGATCTCTTTATGAAATTTTTGAAGTGTCAAGTGGTAGCTATCATTATAAAACGGTTAGTTCCAATCCTTGATTGGTCAATAGCTGTGCTTTATTCATTATAAAACACGGCTGACCGCTTCACCCAACGGTTCTGTGTATCACTACGCAACACTGCGGTTAATGTGTTGTGTTTTTTTGAGCTTTCATGCATATTACACACTGGAGCGTTGTTGCTGTTCACGGTCAGGGACTATTTTTTTCTAGCGGAAGGAAGGCTTATAGTGATTTTACGTCATGAAAGTAGCACTAATACATATTTTTGTACTTTAATATTTTTATTGTGTGGTAACCGTTTTATAAAAGCAATAACAACGAGCCTAACAACGCCCTTCAGCCGTTAATATTCACAATACAGCACAGCCTCTCATACCTTATTGCTTACATGGAGGATGACCATGCACGTAAGCCCATGAAAACTCTCATATTTCATCAAAAAGATCTTCATTTGTGGTCTTACGGGGTTGGAACAACATGAGGGTTAGTAATTAATGACAGAATTTACATTTTTGGGTGAACGAACCCTTTACGTACCACCAAGATCATCACCGGTCCTCCACAAAATTTCATAGGAGGCTTATAGGCCTCTCGAGGTCTCAGTCAAAGCAAAGCTGGACTCATCAGGCTGAAAAGATGAATGAAGTCATGTACAAGGGTAACCTGGAAGAACACCCGGTTCCTTCTGCTCTGACAATATTACCCAATCAGATTGACTCCAGGTGTGGATGCAGGACCACCAGATCAAGACCCAGTCATGACCAGCCCAATCTCGAGACCTGAACCCCACTGTAAACCTCTGGAATATGATCAAGAGGAAGATGGATGGCCACAAGCAGCAAACAAAGCCAAACAATTCAACGATTTCTGAATACTTCCCTTTCCAGTATTTGAGGTCTGAAAACACTTTTTACTTTATTTTATTAGAATTTGGGGAAAGTTTTTTCAGTAGTTTACATTAAAAAAAACAAATAAGTTAATTTTACTCAAACATATACCTAAAATTGTAAATCCAGAGAAACTGGTAATTTTTTCCAGAGCTGTATATGTGTGTGCATGTGTTCATCTGTATATCTGTAAAATTCAAATATATTTAACAATATATGCAACCATCAAAATGCAAAATACAAATCTTGAAGTCACGGTAAGATTCAATCCTGACCTGTGATGTTTAAATGTTGAGGTGTAGGCACATTCTCTGGCCACTTGTCGCGCTAACGAGAAGAGTTCAACTCTGCGTAACAGCAGAGTGTTGTCCCGCATGCAGAACTGAGCCGCCGCCTCATTGATGAGCATCTGAAAGTGGAAATATGAGAATCAACGCTTAGATGTTATTTTAGCGGATCATCTGAGCTGTATGAATGTGCTTAAAAAATACCATCTACAAAATGCATTACACAACTGCTGTTGTTTTTTTTAAGATTTACAACATCTCCTATTTTAAAATGGTCGAATTGTACAAGAATCTAGGAGTTGCAGTAATCTTTAAAATTTATCATAAATTGACTTTAAAGGTGGAAAAAACACATGCAAAGACTCGTGTGATATTAATGCTCTGACGTTGTTGTTTCTAAGATTTTTTTTGTTAACTTTACTTAATGTCCAAAAATTTGTTGAACTTACTTAAAATTTCTTAGTAATCTGTACTGTTTGCATGCTATGCCTTCGTTACTCAGAAAAACCTTGTAAACATTACTTGACTGGTTTGAGTACCATTTCTAACTACAACTATTTCATATATATATATATATATACTGTATATACATATATTTATTTTTTTAATGATTTAATTAATTGACCATTACAATTTATTTTGCGGTCTCTTGTAAGTATAACCCCAATAATGATTGCAAATAAAATTGTAATGGTAAAATAAAGCCAAAAATAGAAAAAAAACAAATTTATTCATGCCGCAATGCACTCTGGGAGTACACTTACTCAGATCACAGACAGAATTAAGTTGACAAAACTTAAGTAAGAATAACTTGATGCAATTAAGTTATGCTTACTTAATGAAATTAAGGCAACGAGTTTGCATAATAAAATTAAGTAAACTGAACTAATTGGTTTTTTTACAGTATGAATCAGGACATCGTGTTCATGAATTTGGGCACTGAGACGGACACTGGCTCACTAGACATAGGGACACTCTATTTCATACAGGCATGACAATGTCCTCATTGTTTAACATCAGAACTGGTATGATGTTATGATGAACTATGTGCCTTTCTCCTGACGTTCTGATGTTCAAAGCCTTTCTAAGGAAACTGTTAGAAGGCAGCTGTCGGACTCTGAGATGGCGAACGGGAACAGGGTTTGTGTATTATTAACATCACATTATTAGCTGTTTGATAACGTAATCAAGCAAAAAGCTAATCATATTAATTACATTACACACATCATGTCTGAAATACCAATGTGCAGCATTTACTACAGTAAAGTTGACCGACGAGTGGATCTGAGTTGGTGTGAGTGAGTGAGTGGAGGTGGGGCTAATTTGCATATGCATGGCTCTGTGTATACTAAATAAAGCAAGGGTGTATATTCAAGCTATTTTAAGGCATGAAGACATGTTTTTCAGAGGAAAAAAAAGTTTAATATGTATTTTGGTGATCAAAGTTTTAATGGATACTATTATTGTAGTGTCTATTTACACTAAGTTTACTAGCCTGTCTTGGCAAAGGCAATCTACACTAACTCCGCCCACCAATGCCTGGTTGGGTAACACAAGATTAAAAAAGACACACGCCTTTTGAAAATCTCACTCTTCTCCCGTTTCTCATCACATATCAGACCAGAAAGGCAGTTATTTTCAATTAAAAAATAATATGTGATAATGAAGATAAAATTGTAAAAGTGAACAAGTGTTTAATAATAAAGTATTTATCGGGTAAGGTTAGGGGTAGGTGTAGGGAGGGGATATTGTCCCAACAAGATGGCTATCTGTTATTTTATAATTTTATTAAATATAATAATTTAAACTATGTTAATATTGCATACTGTTTATACTGGGGTGAAAATAGTATCTGTCACTATTTTTAAAGGAGTAGTTCACTTTTAAAAAACTATTGCCGATAATTTACTCACCCCCATGTCATCCAAGATGTCTTTGTCTTTCTTTCCTCAGTCGAAAAGAAATTAAGGTTTTTGATGAAAACATTCCAGGATTTTTCTCCATATAATGGACTTCAATGGGAACCAAACGATTCAAGGTCCAAATGAGAGTGTTCAAAGAGCTTTAAACGATTCCAGACGATGAATAAGGGTCTTATCAAGCGAAACGATCGCTCATTTAAAAAATAAATAACAAAGTTTAAGTTTTATAAGCTCAAATGCTCGCCTTGCTCTGTTGTTCTGTGATGCGTGTTCGTGACTCTCCTGTTTGAACTGAAAATGAACAAATCTTTTTTCGAGTCATTTGGTTCATTCAACGAACGAAATGAATGAATTGACTCAGAAAAAGATTAGTTCGTTTTGATGAACGAGTTCAAACAGGAGAGTCACACAGAACAGAGCAAGGCGAGCATTTGAGCTTATACAAATTAAACTTTACATATAATGGACCCATTATATGGAGAAAAATCCTGGAATATTTTCATCAAAAACCTTAATTTTTTTTCGACTGAAGAAAGAAAGACATGGACATCTTGGATGACATGGGGGTGAGTAAATCATCAGTATACATGGGATCTAGCAACTATTTGCACTTTTATATATAGTGTAAATATATTGATATCACTTTTTTAAATGATTGAAAAACCCACTTCAAACCTAGAGTTGCTTCAAACATAATACCTTTCAACTTAAAACTACTTCAGATGTAAAACTCCTTCAAGCTTGTTAGGCTTTTTCGACCTGTTCTCTTTCACAAACCTCATGATGGGTGAGCTGTTTCCCTTCCCTCCTCTTGGAGTCGAAGCGCCCGTAGATCAGGCTGTATTTGCGGATCTCCTCCTCTTTGCTCTTGTCATGAGGCTCCAGGTTAAAAATGTGTCCCACTGTCTTGGCCATTTTCTTATTGAGTCTCAGAAGCGTCTTCAGCTCGGTCTGATCGGCTTGAGGCATGGTCCTCAGAAGCCGATCGACGCTGTCCTCCACGGCTTTAATGGTCTCGGTGTCCAGCTGACCTCCAGGCCACGGCGAGACCACAGAAGAGGAAGAGGAGGAGGAAGAGTTAGGCGTCGGAGGACCCAGAAGACGCGAGTGGCAAGCGAAAGGTAGAGAGGGAACGGGCTGGTCTTCATCTAACTCACCGGCTCCGTACACTTCAGGGCTGAGCCAGTGAGGGTCCATGGGGGACAGTTTTTCTCTGTACAGAAGGTCTGGAGGAACAGGAGAAGCCTGTGAACAGGGACTCCTCGGACTGTTATCTCTGAGCGGCGTCAGGCAAGAGCCCACCTCGTCTCTTTCACACGGAGAGCCCGGCTGACCGTTGCTTAAAGATTTTCTCGCACCCATAACCGAGCCAGCAGAACCGGTGCCGTCGATCCTGAGGAGAGGGACTCCACTGGGAGCCACACTGGTGGCCAGTGGTTGGTTGAACAGCGTTGGGTTCGACGCCCAGTCGCGCAGGGCTTTCTGCAAGCGTCGCACGTGAAGGGGTTTTGTGGCCATGCCTACTAGTGCCATGATCTCGAGAAACTCCTCTTCGCCAGCCTCGCACAGCTGCTGGACATCATCTCCTCCCTGCTGGATGAAGGTCTCGTAGTACATCAGCAGGTTTGCTCTCTGTAAAACTCGGTAGAGCTGCAACTCGCCCAGCGTCCGGGGAAGTGACATGACTGCAACAGGAGTCCCACAAAGCATGTCATTAGTACCATATATGGGAACACTTTACAGTATAGTTCACATCACATTAATTAAAAATGAGCAATGCTTCTTCAGGATTTATGAACCTTTGTTAATACTAATTTCAACATTTACTTATTATTTCAACAATTACTTATTCAACGTTATTAAAATCAAAGGTTGGGTTTGTTAACGTTAGTTAAAGGGTTAGTTCACCCAAAAATGAAAATGAAGTCATTAATTACTCACCCCCATGCTGTACCAACCCCGTAAGACCTTCGTTCATCTTCGGAACACAAATGAAGATATTTTTGATTAAATTTGAGAGCAGTATAACTACCACATTGGCTGCCTAAGGGACTGCCTCTTGACTAGGGATGGGTATCGTTAAGGTTTTATCGGTATTACTACTCTTACCGATACCGCTTATCGATCCGGTACTTTAACGGTATTCTTATCGGTTCTTTTTGGTGTTTTTTATTTTATTTTTATTTTTTAAGAATTAAGAACATTAAACTTTATATTTTGAAATGTAAAATATAAAAAGCAAAACGAAGAAAAATATATTTTTGTTATGCAGCAATGTGCAGGCTTTTTTTGTTTATACAAAAAGGACACATAAGAAAAAAAAACAAGTACAAATACAAGAATACAATTAATCAAAGGTACAAATTATATACAAAGTGCTTTAATTTCAGGAAGGTCTACTAACATATCTTGTCAGGTAATTGTTTCTGTCTGAAAAGAAACCTATTAATCAAATATAAAATAGCACTGTAGTTTATCATAGATAGAATAATGCTTATTAAATCTAAAGTTACTCATTCAAAGGCTGTGAGTGATTTTCTCTGCCTTTTGTTGTTTGATTTGCATTCATGGCTGAATCGTCAGCAGGTTTAGGCTATTAGACTGCTGCCCCTTTAAGACCGAGTGCAGATAATGGGGACTGATGCACCATCATTTTCTCCCTATTATTTACGTCCGTTTAAGTGAATCTCAGAGCTGGTCATTTTGACATTTGTATGTATATTTGATAGTTAAGGACGCACAAAGCCCAAGTATATAGGTTACTTTTCTTGTCTCGTTGCAGTCCGTTTCGGAGCGTGCACCGCCTTGTAAACAGCGTCTCTTGCGCAGGTTTTTGTGTTTTTAATAGCTATTTTCTTGATCTTGCAACAGTAGAAGACAGCACTTTGCAACAATCGCCGATCGTGCTGATTCTGACGGTTACGTTTGGGTTTTAGGAAGAACTGACAGCGCTCCGCAGTGCTGTGAAGTAAAGGAAGTTAAGCTGGACAGATCGTTTCGTTTTTTAACGGTTTTATCTCAAATATCTTCTTTTTATAATCTTTGGAAGCCGAAATACAAAATATATTAGAATAATACCCCAGATCTAAAGTGTAACCACGTTGGATGTTTAGTTCTGTCCTCATTGTCCATCATTAAGCAAGGGCTGTCGTGTTGCGCGTGCTGTGGCTTTGCGTGAGAGATCGCTCTCTCTCTCTTCTCTCTTCTGAACTGCGAATTGCAAATTTGCATCACAGACATATGGTTTAATTAAAATATAGTTTATATATAGAAATGGCTGGTGATATAAACATGTTCGAGATAACGTCTTTATAGGAATAATAAATAGTAGCCCAACTTGCGTGTATTTACTTAATTTCTCCAGTACCGACAGCAGAACCGGTAACGTCCGAGCTTATCGATACAGCGGTCTTTCAAAATTCAGTACCGGGGCCCGTTTAATACCGGGTTTCGGTACCCATCCCTACTCTTGACGGCCCAAAAAGTCAATGAAGAAAATGTTTAAATATCCCAAGTGACTACCGTGGCTCAACTATATGTTTATCAAGCGACGCGAATACTTTTTGTGCGAAAAAAACAAACAAAAATAACGAGTTTATTCGACTATTTCTTTTCTTCCTTGTAGGCCAGAACGAGATTTCCACGACGCATGCGCGACAATTGCGATCTGCTCACACCAGCTTACACCACTTCAGATCGCAATTCTCGCGCATGCGTCGTGGAAATCTCGTTCTGGCCTACAAGGAAGAAAAGAAATAGTCGAATAAACTCGTTATTTTTGTTTGTTTTTTCGCACAAAAAGTATTCGCGTCGCTTGATAAACATATAGTTGAGCCACGGTAGTCACTTGGGATATTTAAACATTTTCTTCATTGACTTTCTGGGCCGTCAAGAGGCAGTCCTTTAGGAGCCAATGTGGTAGTTATACAGCTCTCAAATTTAATCAAAAATATCTTCATTTGTGTTCCGAAGACGAACGAAGGTCTTACGGGGTTGGTACAGCATGGGGGTGAGTAATTAATGACTTCATTTTCATTTTTGGGTGAACTAACCCTTTAAAGGGATCCTCCACTTTTTTTGGAAATAGGCTTATTTTACAACTCCCCCAGAGTTAAACAGTTGAGTTTTACCGTTTTCGAATCCATTCAGACGATTTTTTGATATTTAGAAGAATATCAGTAACCAGACAGTTTCTGGTCTCATTAACTTCCATAGTAGGAAAAAATATATATTATGGAAATCAATGAGACCAGAAACTCTCTGGTTACTGATATTCTTCTAAATATCAGAAAATCGGCTGAATGGATTTGAAAACGGTAAAACTCAACTGTTTAACTCTGGGGGAGTTGTAAAATGAGCCTATTTCCAAAAAAAGGTGGAGTATCCCTTTAATGCACTGTGTGAACTAACATGAACGATCAATGAACAGCTGGATTTTTATTAATAAATAACAAATGTATTACTCAATGTTAATTCATGTTAGTAAATACATTAACTAATGTTAACTAATGAACTTTATTGTAAAGTGTTACCGTATGTATATACTATAGCCTATACAAAAAAAAATTTAGAATTACAGTAAGATGCTAGTAAATTTCACAAATAATTACAGAGAAATGGCAAGAAACACATTGATTTACACATTCAATTTTGATGTAGTCAGTAGAAAGACTAGTATTGGTAACACTTTACAATAAGGTTCATTTATTAAACATTAGTTATTAACTAGCATGAACTAACCATGAGCTATACATTTGTTACTGTTTTTGTTAATCTTTGTTAACGTTAGTTAATACAAATCCAGCTGTTCATTGTTTGTTCATTTTAGTTCACAGTGCATTAATAAAGTATTAGTAAATGTTGAAATTAACATTAACAAAGATTAACAAATGCCTGACCATATATATATATATATATATATATACACACACATTTTTTTTAGAATTACATTAAGATGCTAGTAAATTTCACAAATAAGAGAAATGGCAAGTTACACATTGATTTACACATTCAATTTTGATGTAGAAAGGTTTTTTTTGTGCAAATTGCAGTAAATGGTAAAACTATTTGCACTACTAATTATTATAATTTCTACAATAACAATAAAAAGTTTGCAATACAAATCAGCTTAACAGCTTTTTGGCCGTGCACAAGCTCAGTAAAATATAAACGTGGCTTTAGGACAATTGTGATAAATGAAATCCTGGGAGTGAACATGGTATAACTGTTGTGTGCACATGAAATATGATTACATCCTTACATTACATCTTTCATGCAATGTTAGCTAAATAATACAGTTTTATAGATATTGTTCCGGTCACCTCACAACAGCAGTAGAAAGTGTTTGTTTAAATTATGAATCTGGATTTTGTCGTTTCTGAACAGATTTCTCATTCCTGCTCCCTTGATTATATAAAATGTCTATTTAGTTTATCAGTGCAGCTAACAATGAGCTCATTGAATTAATTATTTAAGTTGAGAAAAAAATGAATCAGACATATAGAAAATGTAGCATTGGTGTAAGTTTATTCAGATTTTACATCATCTGAACTTAAGTCTTGGCAGGATGTCTTCATAAGAGGCTGGATCCAAACTAGAGATATTTTTATTTCAGTCCAATTTCAGTGCAGTCAAATGTCCTTCTGCTCCTCCCACAGTACAATATGGAGACTCTTATAGATAAAGGTTCATTTATAGGCATCTATAAAAGCTTCTTTAGATTATTAAAAAGGATCTTCACACTTAAGACGGGTTCACACTGTACGATTTTGTATGGAAGCTTGTTTCCGCTACTGAATAAAAAAAATCAAATAATAAAAATTGCTACTTTTTATCTCACAATTGCGAGATATTAAGTATTGCGAGATATTCGATGAAGTCAGAATTGTGAAAAGTCGCAATTCTGAGAAAACTTTTTTTCTCACAATGGCGAGTTTACATCTTGAAATTCTGACATCTTTTCTTTTCTTTTCCTTCGTTCATCTTTGGAAAATGAATTAATGATATTTTTGATGAAATCTGACAGGATTCTGACCCAGCCATGGGTAGCAACATCACTGCAACTTTCAAGGTCAAGAAAGGTAGTAAAGACATTGTTAAAATAGTTCATGTGACTACAGGGGTTCATCCTTAATGTTATGAAGCGACAAGAATATTTTTTGTGCGCAAAAAACAAACATTCTGACGTATAACCCGTAGGCACTGCAATGTATTTACAATGCACCGTTCCTGAAGATGAACGAAGGTCTTTGTTATGTCCACTGGCGATTTTTAAGAGGTATGGGGACATCCGACCGATGTCAGTACAAGCAAATGAAACCAAAGCGCTAAAGGCAAACAACAACTGTTTATTTACAATAATACAGTGGGAAAATTCGATTTGGAAAGTCATGAGGGTGAGTAATTAATGACAGAAATCCCTTTAAGTTTTTTTTTTTCCATACAAAAACATTGCAACACAGTCAGTAATTACAGACTACATCTCTTTTTTTAGTTAGTTTACATAGTTAAAATTCCCAAATAATGAGCATGAAGCCATTCATATTCAGCAATGGTGATGCTGAGTTTTGTTAATCCTGTGATCATTTATAATAAAGATAATACACACTTCAAAATAAAGGTTCCAAAAGGGGGGTTTCAGTGATGTCATAAAGACCATTTTTAGTTCCCCAAAGATCCTTTCAATAAGCCGATCTAAAAATAAATGGTTTTCTTAGTATGAAAAACATTTAAAAAAAAAAAAATCTCCACTAAAGTAGCAGTCTAAAGCTTCCATGAATGTTAAAAGTTATTCACTGAATCAAATGCCAATAAGGAACCTTTGTTTTTAAGAGGCTAGTTGTGTATAGGCTACTACTCACCTTGAGAGACTTCAAGACAGGATCCAGAAGAAACTTGAGCTTCAGTAACCGAACCCAAGCGACGGAATCTAGAGATTTGCACTGCTTTCACTCAGTTCAAACTTTTCGTTCTATTTATAGACCTGTATCTTTAAGCATCAACCAGGAACTGTATATTTGTTTGCAGTGCTTGTTAGACCTTATTCCACAGATGTGAGATTGTGCTGAAATACTCTTGAAACTCTTGTGTTGTCTAGGCTCTCTCTGCTGTGCTGGCAGGAGCGGTGAGTTAATGACGCTCTTTCGCTGTGGGCGCGAGAAACGCGTGGGCGGACTGCGGCACGCCATCTGACCGAATAAGAGCCTTCCTCTCCGGTCTGAGCTCGGGGGGGTGCGCCTTCCTCTCCGGCTCTCGCAGCAGGGCGTGTGGAGGGAAGGGGAATCTGTCCGTTTTACAGTTTAAGCTCATGCCTGTATAAAATGGATAGGATAGGAACCTAAACAGCACTACAGAGACCAATCAATCATATTATAATAGGTAGCTGATTTAATACTTAGGCAAACATGACTGCAGTCAGTCAGCTGTGTGGAGGAGTGCCGGAGATCACCGGGTCTGTGGGCGGTGATCGTCGCTCAATGACGCGGCTTGAGCTGCGGGAATCCCCGGCATTTGAGTCAGGCCGATCTGGCATGATGCGCGACGGGGTTTTTTAATAAAAGATTAGTTATTATTATTACTTTTTAAAAAATATCTAAAATTTATAAAATTGCTCGTATAACAATAGAATATTTTTATTTTGATCCATATGCAGATCAGTAAAAAAAAAAAAAAAATCGAATTTAGGATCCATAAACTGTTAGCTTTTTATCATTAAGATACTAATGCTATTATGTTTAATTTTTAAAGAATACAGAATTGCCCATATGACGATAGAATATTTTTATTTTGTGCCATTATCAGTGTTTTGTGTGTGTGTGTGTGTGTGTGTGTGTGTGTCTGTGTGTATTTAGAATACATATACATTATTAGTTTTGAAATAAACCTTAGCAGCGAGTCAGCGATTTTATTCCAAAAACGAGTTAAACGGCTTCCCCTATGGAAGCTTGTTTCCGCCACTGAATGAAAAATATAAAAGGTAATTGCGACTTTTTATCTCACAATTCTGACTTTTTTTCTCACAATGAGTTTACTTCTCGCAATTCTGACATTATTTCTCAGAATTGCGAGATGGAAAGTCAGAATTGTGAGATATAAAGTCAGAATTGCGTGATATAAAGTCGCAATTGCGAGATATAAAGTCAGAATTGCGTGATAAAGTCATAATTGCGAGATATGAAGTCAGAATTGCGAGTTATAAAGTCAGAATTGCAAGATATAAAGTCAGAATTGCGAGATATGAAATCAGAATTGCTAGATATAAAGTCGCAATTGCGTGTTATAAAGTCAGAAATGCATGATATAAAGTCAGAATTGTGAGATTTAAACTATTCTGAGGGGGAAAAAAGTTAGTCTTTTTTCCCCCTTAGAATTGGCCTAATAAGTCGCAATTGCGAGTTTATATCTCACAATTCTGAGAAAAGATGTCAGAATTTCGACATATAAACTCGCAATTATGTGTTATAAAGTCCGAATTGCGAGATGTAAACTCGCAATTGTGAGAAAAAAAGTCACACTTCTGTCTTTTTTTCTCAGAATTGCGACTTTATATCACACAATTCTGACTTTATATCTCGCAATTCTGACTTTATATCTCGCAATTCTGACTTTATAACACACAATTCTGACTTTATAACTCGCAATTGCGACTTTATATCATGCAATTCTGAGAAATAAAGTCAGAATTGTGACATATAAACTCGCAATTGTGAGAAAAAAGTCAGAATTGTGAGAAAAAAAGTCAGAATTGTGAGATAAAAAGTCACAATTATTTATTATATTTTTTTATTCAGTGGCGGAAACAAGCTTCCATAGCTTCCTGAACAAGAACAAATGTAGGGTGGGGCTTTATTTTGCCCATGCAGAATTGATTGGATGGTTTTATTTTGCTATTGGCGTCATCAGAGAAGTCACTTCAAGAGGGAAGAGATGTTATTATTGAAGATTACGTGCAAATGATTAAAAATAAAAATAATTTAATAATAATGATTTGGTCAGATAATTCATTTATGAATAGTGCAATATTCCATAAAAAATGTAAGGATTGTCAATTGTGATGACTTCAAAACGTCAATGCATGAGTCTGTTCTGTGGGTATAGATGCAACAGAATCAAAGGTTTAAGACTGATTCGAGCCCTGTCACAGCACCACAAGCAAATTAATTACAGTAAAGATTTTTAATTTACAGCTCATGATGGCACAGACAAGGTATTGTAATAAATACATAAAAAAATTTTTTTAAAAAGAAGCAATGGCTTCAGGAGAGGGCATGGCCAAAAAGCTTGTTTCCACCACATAAAACAATTTAAAAGATAATTGTGATTTTTTTTTAATCTCACAATTATGACATTTTTCCCTCACAATTGCGAGTTCACATCTTGCAACTGGCTTTTTTTTCGGAAAAAGTTAACGGGATAGCCTAAATGGATAGTTTACCCAAAAATAAAAATTGTTCGAAACCTGTATTAATTTTCTATCTATCTATCTATCTATCTATCTATCTATCTATCTATCTATCTATCTATCTATCTATCTATCTATCTATCTATCTATCTATCTATCTATCTATCTATCTATCTATCTATCTATCTATCTATCTATCTATCTATCTATCTATCTATCTCTAGACATAAATTAGTTGTGTATTAAAACATTAAGATATATCTGACCAAAATGTCTCTGTCTTCCACAAAAGAGGGACAAAAAAAAAGCAAATTATTTTACCATCCGACTTTACAGTAATTCAAATGTGTTTTTTTTATTGGTAAGAAGATGCTTTTGAGGCAAGGAGGCAAGGAAAAATAATATTTTAAACATGTCAATTTTTTTTTTTATTTATTTTATTTTTTTTAGAGAAGACATAAAACAATCAAATTCCACCACAAACACCTTAAACATTGGGTTTTCATTTGTTTATGTAGGCCAAGGTAAACAATTCATGCTTATATTAGCAATAATAGAGTTTTAAAAAATTCTGTAGATGCTATTTTATTTAGTTATTTGACAAATAGCACAAATATGTCTGTTATTGAATTTTCTATCTATCAGCTCCCCCAAGCCACAGACTTTTTTTACGAACACGTAGTCGATCGTGACGTCATCGTGTCCCAGATGACAGGAAAGGGTTAATTACACGGAACTGACGTTATGCTTGTGTGCTGGACTCGGAAGTGAACTGGAAAGAAGAGAGAAGGGACAGTTAAAGCAGTTAAAGATAGGTGAGAAAACAGGCTGAGCTGCTTCGAGCTCATGTTACACTCGAGATGAACTTTTCTGCCCGTGCACTGTTGTTGTTTTAGCGTCGGAAGGCAGGACTGCTAGCTGTAACGTTAGATGTTCTCCAGTTAGCATGTCTGCTAAAGCAAAACAGCATCGTAAATGAAGAGATGAAACAAATATAAAGATTCTTAAACATTAACATTCACGAAATCACAACCACCGTGTGTAAACCTCAGTTGACAGCCGTTCAGGAGTCGACGCTCGTGTACTTTATCAGGACAGAGAGTTCAGTAAGTTCCAGCCTTGTTTACATTTCAGTTTCTGCTCCGTCTCTCAGGGATCTGGTCTGTCATAATAGCAAAGAAAAAAAAAGATGGTTTGTAGTTTTAACTGTGTAACTTTAGGTCGTGTAGAACAGCAAACTTGTTGGCACTAACAGCGAAATGTGTTTTGTTTTCAACAAAGCGCAAAGTGAACCGGATAAATATAGTTAACAACAATTTGTTATTGGTACAAATTGTGGATGCATTATATTTTAGCACTGATTGGTTGTAAAAACGTCCAAGCGAATATATGTAAGATATTTAAGAATCCTCCATTGACCAAGAACATATAAAATATTTGGTGGTAACAATAAAATTGGCACCATACTCAGTAAACCAAATATATCCCATGGTATCATGTACACTGTAATGGTAAAAAGGCAACATAGTGGTGTAAAGGTAATTTTATTACAATTATGACTTACAATTATTACAATCAGTAAGTGCTCTTTCACATAGCATTACTGCACACAAATTCTGTGTGGCTCTTGCATGCAAACTAAATTATGGATGATAAGGCAGACATTTTAAATACATGGTTGAGCAAGAGGTTCCATATCACATCTGACCTGGGTTAGCAATCATTGGATGTTTTAATCAAACAACAATTTAAAGAAATATTAACATACAGTAATAATCATGATATATTTAGAATGGGACTCGAGTGGACTCGGGAAAAAGTCAGATTCCTAATATGTTCGAGTACGAGTCAAAATGCACACGAGTCCATGACAAGATAGAGTCCGAGTCTCGAATACACAACGCTGGTTGTTGATGTAAAAGTTTTATAAGGCATTTTTTATGTTGTAGTGTATAATTTGCTAGATTACATCTTGAACATACAGTGTCTTACATTATTTGAGTAATTTGACAGATTTTTCTTTTCATTTGCAGGATGATGGTGTGATTTGGAAATGTTCATCTCTGATCGTCTGCAATGCTGGACATGCTGAAAACCCCATGTTGTGTTTCATTTGTGAATATGAGGCAGCTGTTAAACGCAATGCATGCTGCGTGTCTAAGTCTGCTGCCACCCTAAAGCTCATGATGGATATTTCCATGTCTGCCTTAAGTGTGAGGGAGTGAACGTGTGGATATATGAGCAAGATGGAAGAAGACATGGCAATACATTGGGAGACAGTAGAGGAAGGCACTGACTGTGGGCCGCCCATCGTTTCTCTAGCCAATCCGTGTCATGAAAATGACAGTCATGTGATGCCGCCTCAGGCACCTGACTGTGAACGTGAGGCGTTTGATGATTTGGATTGTGAATTCCCTGATGAAGACTTTGATTTGGAAGTAGATGAGAACGAAGAGCAAAACACCACAACTAAGGATCAGGAGGAAGATGGGAGTGCTGAAAAGGAGAAATGTGAACGAGAAAGGAAAAATGAATTGGAAAATGAGTTGAGGGGCGACGGAGAGTCTAGATCCCGCAATGCTGGAACCGGGAGGAAAGGAAAATCCAAGAAGGGTGGACCGGCACAGGGGCCTTGTGATCAAACGCCATCATGGACCGCTTCAATGTCTCATAGATCCTTCCTCCCATCGTCCGGGCCCAGCAGACATAAGCAGATGAAGCGCCGGAACCAGCATCTGCACAATCACAGCCGCGCACGAAGGAAAAACGGGAACCAGCTGGTCATGGTGTGTCGGGATTTCCTAGCGGAAATTGTCAGTCCCTGGTGCATTTCATGCATCCACATGGTCGTCGAACTCATCATTTCTTTGACACACAGATGTGGAGTCGTGGTGGAATCGTCTGGAATCGCGCTGTATGACTTCGGATCACGCATGCTATGCAAAGTCACCGATATTCCAGGCTTGACTCAAGATTTGAGGCGGATCCTGGACTGGAGCCGGTTTTCAGCTGTAGCTTTAATAGAAGGCATCGGCAGGACTTTGAGTTGGGCTCGACACGCTGCTCTCTCCG